GATCAAATCGGCTCTGATCACCACTTCTTACTCTGTGGACACTTCCGGCAGCCCAATCAAAGATCTCGCCACCAGTGAAGATTCAAATCCGTTCGTCCACGGTGCCGGCCATATCGATCCCAACAGAGCTCTGAATCCCGGTTTGATTTACGACCTCAATTCTCAGGATTACGTATCATTTCTCTGCTCCATTGGCTACGATCCTCGACAAATAGCTGTTTTCGTGAAGGATTCTTCATACTCGCAACTCTGTTCGCACAAATTCACCAGTCCCGGATATCTGAACTACCCATCATTCGCCGTCGTGTTCGACTCCGACGCCGAGGAGGTGGTGAAATACACAAGAACTGTCACGAACGTCGGAAGCGAAGCCGATGCAGTTTATGAAGTGAAAGTAGAATCCCCACAAGGGGTACTAATCAGCGTTCTTCCAAACAAACTGGAGTTCAACGCGAAGAAGACGACACAGTCTTACGAGATTACATTCACCAAAATCAATGGATTCAAGAAATCGGCGAGCTTCGGATCAATTGAATGGAGCGATGGAAGTCACGTGGTGAGGAGTCCGATTGCTGTGTCGTTCAACAGCGGATCTGTAGCTTCGATGTGAGTTGGGATGGGCTTGAGCAGGATATTTAAGAGTGCAATTTGATAGGGTCCGCCATTGTAGGTGGGTACGGAGCTCCTCTTTCTGTACAGTACAATTCGAGGAGATTGCACTTCTGTTCGTTTGGATTATTCTGAATCGTATGGAAAGAATTTAAGCTTTATAATAATCTTCCTTTATGGTGGGTTCATCGAATTTGATTCTGAGGAACTGTTTGTGTTTAGTCTTGTGATGATGTGATGAATCTCTGTTAAAATTGATCATTGCTGCTTGAAACACAACTGTATCAGCAGAGCAGGGTCATGAATTCTAAAGCATAGACAGTGTTGCATTGCATTGCATTCGAGTTCTGTTTGGCAGACAAGAAAATGTGTTAGAAAAAATTCTGTGGAAAATGGAGATGGAAATGGAGACTTTTTCTTTCTTTCTAAATTTGGTTAAAATTTGATTAATGGGCCAAGATTTATAATTTGGATTCGGCACCTAGAAAACAAAAAAAGAGGGAAGATGCACTCATAGTCTTTGCTCTCATTCACATACTTTTTAAGAGGTCTAGAATGAGTCAACAAATAAGATAGCAACCTCTTATTAGTATCAATTTATGTATCATTTCGATTTGATTCCTACGATTTTCAAAGTTTCAATTTAGTCTCTATGACATCGGTTTAATTTCAAATCTCACGAATCCACCCTAAACTATCATTTATTCACTTTAAAAGCCTCATCTATTTTCTTCCATTTTTAACTTAATCCCTAAACCATACATAATCAGTTAACTAACATAATATTTAACTAAAATAAAAGTATCACTATGATAACGGTATGGAAGATTTGTGAAATTTGACTAAATCATAGGGACCAAATTGAAACTTTTAAAACTGTAGGGACCAAATCACAATGATTTAATTTATAATTTAACCCTTAATAATACTATTTTTATAATCCTACCAATATCTCAAAATCTCTTATTTCAATGCATTTTGAAAAAATAGATTTAGTATAATTGATTTTTCAAAATTATAATCCCAATTATATCTTAAAAATTGATTTTAAATTTTTCTAAAATCAATCTTTTAATTTGCCAAACACAACCCATGAGAGAGAAAGCGATTTTGACAATGGAAAAGTGATTTTGGCATGACACACCTTACTCTCGGTTTGTACTTAGTCCACTAGTAGACCACTTCTCACCCTCTTAGCTCTAAATGTTAAGTATTAGACTAATAATAATTGATTACTTCTTCAAATCACACATAAAATATGAGAATTGTCGCTTTCCAACTTGTTCTTATCTTATAAAATCTCGTCAATGGAAAAAAAAAAAAGCATTTAGCTGACTTTGTTGTTGAGAATTGGTCTCTTTCCAAACTAGGCTAAAAATGTTGTTTAATAAATTGATTATTAATTTGAAGAAAAAATATAGTTATAGAGGATGGGTATGATCAATTATTATATTTTGTATGTCTTGTATGATTTATGGAATCAAATAAAGCTAGTTATAATATCACAAAAGTGACATAAAAGATAAAACTCCCCCTATATAGACTAAAATAATAATAATAAACAAAAACTTTATAAAATTTGACTTTATCAACGTTTAGGTGAGCTAGCTAGGTCAATAGATGGGTTGGGGAATTTGTGTATCTACGTCACAAATTTTCTCTAGCCAAGAAATTTCACTCTTGGTGAGATTTGAACAAATCTAGTTTATTGAAAAATTAAAAAAAAAAAATCAACAATTTTGAAAATTTAATTTTAGTTTAAGAAATTATTAGTAGAATTAAGGGACTTTTTTTTAACAATGCTAAATTGGGAGTTTATTTGCAAAATAAACTTATTTAAAGAATAATACTTGGAACCGTTTCCAACTTGTGTGGCGCTTTGTTGGCGTTACATACTTTTTTTTAAAATCCTATCATGTCGTCTTTTCAAGACACACATGTACCAATTTATATAGTTATGCTACTTTGGTGATTTGGCTACACTCTCACATTTTAATATAAAGGTCTTGAGTTATATCGTAATTATTAATATTTTCATATTTATTTAGAAGATAGAAAAATTACAATATAACATTCTATTGGATAAAAAAGAAAAAAGAAGATCATTGTTCTTGGAATAAATTTGGGAGAGTAATATTTGTAAATAAGTTTCTAATTTCACATTATTTAAAAATAAATCCTAGAATTAAGTGTAACCAATAAGCAACAAGTAGGCAAAGTGGTAAAAATAATGTGTCTTATGATTTAAAGTTTCACCCTTCAATTTTTTATTTATATATTTAGTTGAGGTTTCAGTCATCAACTTTATTGGCCAAAATTTGAACATGTCTAGAATTAAAGTTTAGTAACGAAACTTAACTTAATTAGTAACTTAACCAAGAATGTAATTAGTCATTAGAAGAAAGCTAAAAAGGCTTTTACAACATCATCATATTTGTCTAAAATAATAATAGATCAAAAATGACACAAAGGTAAAAATTGGTATACCAGTAATATACTTTATATTATATAAAGTATATAAGAGTTATATTTTATTCAATGACATATATTATCTCAATCATTTATATAAATATACTATAAAAAATAGTATATCAGTGATATACAACATAAAAAAAAAAACTTTTTGATTTTTGGAAATTATTTTTTTATATGTAACAAATTTATAAATTTTGTAACCAATTTTACCGTCCATAATAAATTCTCCGAATCTTTTGATTTTGTTTTCTTTGACCACAATAAATTTTCCAAATCTAAATTGGTAGGTGAAACAGAAAAAGTATAATAGGTCACACTCTTTTATCTCCTTAGAGAGAAATAATTCATTTTATTTTAAAAAAAAAACCCCCACTTGTAAA